AACCAGGGTGGATTCGCAGCAACCGGGCAACTGCAGAGAGTTCGCAGGGTTGCCACCCCGGACTGACGTTTAAAAGCCCAGGGCAAAGAGGCGCCCGCGTGGCATGGGAGCCACCCACCCTTTGCTTGGCCTCGGCCACTCGCTCGCTCTCCTGGGCAAGTTGCTCCCGCAGACGGCCCTGCTGCTTGACGGACTGGGACTGCTGGAGCAGCTGCAGCTCGAGCTCCTTGACCCGCTGGTGGCAGAGCTCCCCCTGCGAGGCCAGAGCGGCACACGCCTTGGAGGACTCCAGGAGCTTCACCTGCACTTGCCTCAGCTCGGCCTGGACCTAAAGAGAAACGGGTTTCTGTTGGGTTGGGGGGCCAGACCCTCGGGGGATCTCCCGTCTCCGCCGCCCCCCCAGGAAAGGCAGCTGGATTGTACGTCAGGGCCCTGAAACACGGTAAGACGGACTGTGGAACAAGAGGGGCACGCAACCCTTGCCAGGCTGGCAGGGGAACCCTGCAGAGTCAGGACAGCGTGGGCAGGCTGAAGTCAAGCACAGGCTGCACAACTCTGCAGATCCACTAGAGGGCAGCAACCCTGACTCCCCTCCGCCCTCTCCTGGTCCAGGAGAGCATGGCGGGCCCCACGCCTATGGAGGCAGAGTCACCATCAGCTGAGAGGGGAGGGGGTTCCAGGGCTGCCCAGCCCAAGTCAGCAGGGGGAGGGTAAACAGATTGCCTGCCCGCCCCCCTTAGCCTACCTGGTGGCCTACCTTCTTGCCTAGGTCACTGTTTCTCCCAACCCTGAGGGCGCCTCTGACCTGGGCCAGGTTTCCCATCTGCCCCACTGCAAAGCTGGACTGACGCTCAGTCTGCAAAGGCAGGCCAAGACCAGGCCACCCACCCCTTTGTTGGGGCTTTGAATCTGCCTCCCAGCATCAGGAACCAGGTATCTGGTCCCTCCAAAGAGCCGGGATCTCAACTTTAGGCCTCAACCCAAACATTTAAGCTTCCCGCAAGCCGCTGTCAGTTGCCCTGAGCCTCCACTGACTGGGACCGCATGCGACAGAGGGAACCTATGGGGCACATTCAGCCACTGGCATTTCTCTAGCAACAGGGTCCGCCGCACTGGCCAATGGCTATCTTTGCAAAACTTGCTAAGCTCAAGTTAAACCACACCCGGGGGGATTCGCACGCCACAAGAACCCTGCCCACCAAAGGACATGGTGGCCACGCTCAGCTGCTCTGCTCTGATGAAACAGCAGCAGAACCCTGACGTAAAATGCCCTCCCCGTGTGCTCCCAGGTGCCCCCCGACGCACCTTGATGTTTTCCTGCTGCAGCTGTAAGTTCTGCCTCTTCAGCTCCAAGGCCTTCTCCTGCTCCAGCCTCAGCTGCTTCTCGGCAGAGCCGCAGGAGCCGTGGACCCTCCGGGGGTCCCACCGCAG